TTTCATAAATTAATAACTCATCCCTGTTCTACGCATACTACATACCCTGTCATAAGCAAAACATTTAACTATTAATGTCAAAACTTTTTGTTTCTAATCTTTCTTTAAAGTCCAGAGCCATTTAAACCACAAAATGTACATTATAACTTAAGTTCAAAAGCAATTCCTAATTTCTGATTTTAATTTAGCTTAAGTGAATGTTAATATAAAATAAAAGAATGATAAAAAAATCTTAGCTAAAAATGTTATCTTAACTATTCGACTCCTTATAATGTTTTTTTTTTTTTTACAGTCATCAATTACTTCAACCTTTGAACCAATTTGACTTCTTATCTTTAATTGTTCCCCAGAGCTTTCAGTAAAACTTTCGAATCGAATACAAGTGCGTTAGATACAAAGAAAAATCATACTTTTTTTATCTTTTAGATCGAAGTTTACGAGATGGTTTTTTCACTTCAGTTTGTATACATATTTTTAAACTTGTTAGATATACAATATATACAAATATATAGCTAAACAGCAACATGATTATCCTATAAAATATAACAAATTGTTATAAAACTAAAAATTGAACATATATTAAAATTTTTGGCAAGAATGTAAATCAGTATGCAAAATTAGTAAGCCAACTGAAAGAACTTTGTGATTTCTCAGCATTATGTCTATTATGTTGGTTGTACCAACAAAAGCTATTTGCAAAAACAAAAATCTAAAATCAACTTTAAAATAGTGCTAAAAAAAGGTGAAAAAAAGGACTTCAAAACGGTTGCTATGTGCGTTGCTAGGGGAACTAAAACAACAAACATCAAAATAAATGATATTTTGATTAATTTCAGTATCTATTTGGAAAAAATAATTATCACAAACAGTTTCTACAATCAATTTGTGTTAGGTTAAGGTATTTTTTTAAAAATAAATTTTTTAAATATTTTACACTTTTAATGGGGTTGTTCCCCTGATATATTTCACCACATATTTGTATTCTTTTTGACAGGCGTTCCATATTTTATGTCCTCGATATGCTGACAACATTCTGAGATTTATGATATTCAATAGTTTGAGATTTTGTTTTTGTTTTCATTTCCGAGGCAACTTATAAGTGTTATTAATAAATGATATTTATAAATATATAAGTGTTGTTTAGATATTCATTTCAAATAAATTTTTTTTTTCCTGTTTAACATTACCATGTGTAGTAAATGAAAACCGGGTTCGGCACATAAATAGCTCAAAAAAAGTACTCAATATACCATGGTATGATTTTCATTTATATCATATATATATATTCATTCAATATTCATTAAAATATCATTATTTTTATATCTTTCATAAAAAATTTTGCGTGTTCATGTTTATATTAAGTATATTTCTGCAAGCGTGTATTTGTAGCGTAAAAAATTTTTTCGCGTGATTAAGGCCAAAATATATTTTCAGTTTTGTGTACTAACGTAGGAGTGAACTCGATACATCACGCCAATAATTTTGGTAAGTTTTAACTGGATATATTTTATTTAGAGAGACCATGATACATTTTCATCATAAATACTTCTATCCAGTGGGCATGCGTTGTCTGGGGGACGTCTGGATGTCCGTGAAACGTCCGACGAACGTCCCCCTGATGACTCGTGCGCATTGGGTAAGAATTTTATATTGACTTGCTTTTTAATTAGTTTACCATTAAAAAAGAAATTTGGAGGTTAAAGAAAAAAATTATTGCTATTTAAGAGGCATATTTAACTTGGTTTTTTTTTTTTTTTTTTTTTTTTTTTTTTTTTTTTAATGAAACAGTATAATCTCTTTTCTGTTCACTAAGGGGTATGCCCCCCTAACACGACAACTTGGTACTGCATGCTATAAAACTATATATTTTCTGGAAGGTCTTAAAAAATTTATTCAAATTATTAAAAAAAAATTTACAGCAAATGTCTATAATAGCGGAAAAATGAGGAAAATGTCAATATTTTTAGCAGATCTTAACTTAAGAACTGATATATATTTCTAAATGAAACTTTGACACAAGACTCTATAAAGAAAGATCTACAACTTAAACTGAAAAAGTATTATTATTTTTGCCTCGATTGTCTATCACTCTACCATCTATAGTTTAAAAGATATCGTTTGCTAAATCTGGCTTGTCAATAAAAATACTCATTTTGAGAAAAAAGAAAAAAACTTTAAAGTTTAAAATTGTGTACTAAACATATTCAGCTTTAAACGTACAAAAATACATAAAAAGTTATATAAAAGTTCTAGACTCATTGTCCCTTCTTTTTGAATACTTTTGTCATCGAATGATTTTTTCTGCTTTTTTTATGACATTTAGCATTGCCAGTATTTTTGTAGTGTGCATAACGAAGTCTGTATTTGTTAATATTGATGCATCCTTTTGTTGTTTAATGGCTAGGGGTCAAGCTTAACACCTCGATAATTTATAAAGATACTTTACTTTCAATTTTAAAACTGGGAGCAACATCAAATCTTCAAATTTTAGTTTATAAAAACCCATAAAACAACTACCAAATCATTGCTTTTAACTACGTGACCCGGTTTTTATTGTCGACAAAATTTGAACCAAGTTCACATTTTAAGACGTACATACATCGACTGACAAATAGGGATTGGCGCAACTAAACGTACATGGTTTGGGTCAGGGTTAGGGTAGGGTCAGAAATCAATCTAAAATGCGTTTTGCATCAGAGTGTCGATAGAAACCAGGCTTTTTGAAAGTTGAAATTGAAAAGTATTTTAATCCTAACGAGTATAAAAAAGATAGTGGAATACTAGCATTTTTAATGTGGTTTTTTATACTTTAACATCAAATTAGAGTACTTTCCTCAAGTTTTCAGACCCATGTTTTTGTATGATTCTGAATCAGAATAATGTATTCTGTCATAAACAATGATAGAATACATTCTATCAATGATTATGATAGAATATCTGACTGTCATCACTGAGATCATTGTAAGTAGCTTTTACACGAATTATTATAGACAAAGGCAATCCAACGTTTGGTTTGCACATTGTTGTTTTGTTCATCTTTTCTCAAAAAAACAAACACCTGCTGTTTTTGGAATTAGTAAAAGGATTGTGCTACTGGTTTGTTTTGGATGATGCTATATGAAACAGGCTAGAAAAAGTTGCTTTTTTCATGCATAAATCATCTACATTTTGTAAATATGAAATATAAATAATAATCACATTCACATAATACACTCAAAGAAGAAGCTAATACTTTTTATTTGGAAAAGTTTTCAGTAAGTGACAGTTTTTCAATATGGCAGCACAGTTTACTAAAAACTTAAGCTTAAAATAGAGACATCAATAACTCTTTATCTGTTTCTTTGTATTTAAAATCCTCAAATTATTTTTTTTAAAGCATTTGATACAGAGACAGAGCAAGAAATGATAGGATTTTCCTGATTAGTAGAACCATAGCAAAGAGCAACAATTTTTGTTGTTGTTCAGATAAACTCTCAACAATTATTTTAAATGATTTTATGTGCATATTTCTTTAGAATCTTCTTTTACAAGTGGTGGGTTAAAAAAATTTTATTTATCAAATGTATAATGTCTGATGTGCAACACTCGCATTTTAAGAGAAAACTACTAAAATATAGTCTTTGAGCTGTCTAAATTTAAAATCTACGTTAAATTTTGATTTAAAAACAATTAAATTATTTTTTTGAAAAAATCCAAAATATTTCTTAAATTAATTGGGGACATATTCCTTAAGTGAGTCTTAAGTTTGTTTTCCCTAAACCAATTATTTATTTAATATGGTTCAATTTTTACATCCGTATAAAGTTGTTTAATATCTTTTTTGGGAAGAAATAGAATTGTATCATCAGCAAACATTGAATTGAGTTTTAATAATGTCATTAACATAATTAAAAATAAGAGTAGTAATAAAAGTCATTAACATAAAAATTAAGAGTAGAACAAGAACTGGGACGTCTTTAAAGAGGAGAGGGGAGGTAGAATGTATAATCCCCTACAAAAACCTTATTCAAAAACTAGTGGACAAATTTGGACTGTAGTAAGCAAATTTAGATTTATAGTCGGAAAATGTCCAATAACTAGCATTTTTTCTTTTTAAGTCAAAAAACAGGTACATCACCCTCTCTGTAGGATCTCTTCGGAACGGCCCTGATTGAACCTTGATCCATGGATCCATGCACAAGATATTTAATATTCCGTATTGTATATTATGCACCTAATACTTTCTACCTGTCAACTAACTTTTAATCCAGTTATAGATTGTATTAATTACATGGTAACACTTTATTTTATCTAAAAGAATGCTACAATTTACTGTGTCGAATGCTTTAGATAAATAAATAAAAGCTCCTATAGAAAACTAGTTTTTGGTAAAACCATCAGTTGTTTGTTTTCTATTTCAATAATTTCATGCTCAGTCGAATAACTTTTCTGAAATCCGAGTTAAAATAAGTTGTTTTTGGTAAAGTATTCAAAAGTTCTTATATATTATACACGTTCAAACAGTTTTGAAAATACAGAAAGTAATGATATCGGTATACTATTTGTAATGTCCGAACGGTTATTGCATTTGTAAATTGGAACTATTTTAGCAAATTTAAAAACATCAGAGAAAATACTGTATTTAAGTGAGAGTTTCAGAATATAAAATAGAGGTCTGTTTAAGCTAGTTTGTTAAAAATAATCTTATTAAATATTTTATCATACCCTGATCATGATTTATTTTTCTTTAAAAAAAATACGCAACTTCAAACTCTTCACCGCTTAAATCGTTTTTGTAATTGGGTCACTTTGGGATTTTAAAAATATTTAAAATGAGTCTGACGGTAATATTACTTGAATAGCAAGTTTAGGGCCAATGTTTTCGAAATATTTGTTAAATAAATATACAAATACTTGTACAGTTTTTGTATATTTGTTGAGCAGTTTAATAGCATTTCATTTTGAATATTAAAGATATTAAATTGATATCTTTTTTAAATTAATACCAATTTTATTTTTAGTAGCAATTCATTCACGGATTTCAAGAACCGATGATTTATCCACGGATTGGCTACTGCTTTAGTCTTATATCTTATATTCCCGTATGGAAAAGTTTCATTGTAGAGCACTAGTAATTTGTTTAAAAAGGTATTAAAGGCTTCGTTAGCATCTTGGCATTTATATACATTTCCCAACTTTCTTGTTTTAAATTACATGATGTTTTATTATTATTACTAATTTTTAGTTATAGGGTTGCCCTCGCCCAACGTTTCAGCAATATTGTTGAGCAAAATGATTAAATATTGACATAATATTACGTAGATAAATAATTTCCATTATTCGGGGGACCTTTTAAATACTTTTACAACTTTCCTGACTTTTTTTATAACGGGCCCAATAATTTGGTGCTTAATCTTAACTTCAGATGTTTAATTAATTTATAACAAATCATTAAAGTCTTTCTCTTCAGAAAACAGTTTCTACTTTAATTAACGGTCACTAAAGTTTATTAGATAAACCTTTTGATAACTTCATTAATCAATTGAACGTTATATAAACTTTTATAATTTAATAAAACTTCTGTATTTTGATAACTTCATTAATTAAACCGATTTTAAATTTTTTTTTTAGTAAAACACGCACACATATGTAATTACATTAAGTGAGTATAAAAATGAAATTAAAATCACACACACACACACACACACACACTTGAAATTAGAATAAATTAGAAAATTCTATATAAAATTAAGGTATACTTTCTATTATTATATTTGATCTTCCCATTATTATTTTTGATCTTCCCATTAGCAAGCGCTAAAATTTTATTTATTTTTAATAATTTACTATATTTTATATTATACTATATTCACATTTTTTATAAAAAATGATAAGCAATAATGTTTTTTGTTTGTACATTCGATAAAATACATTGAGAGAGAGAGAGAGAGAGAGAGAGAGAGAATAAAAAAAACATTTTAAAAATAATAAAAAGCTACAAAACCAAAGTCTATATTTACATTTTATGATGTACAAATTACTTAATAACAAATTAAACTTTTTGTACTTTTACTTTTTTATGATAATCCCAAACTTGATCATAATTTTAATAATAATGAGAAAATGATAGTTTACACGCTAAAAATTTTTTGGTCATACTATTTAGCTTGTTTAACCTATAAGTGATCTTTTTATTCAAGATTCTTGTCTGGAGTTATTAGGTTGAGAGATAGCAATGGTGACCTTGGGAGTTATTAGGTTGAGAGATAGCAATGGTGACCTCGGGAGTTACTAGGTTGAGAAATAGCAATGGTGACCTCGGGAGTTATTAGGTTGAGAGATAGCAATGGTGACCTCGGGAGTTATTAGGTTGAGAGATAGCAATGGTGACCTCGGGAGTTTTAAAAAAAGTAGTAAACAATACTTTAAGTCATAATGTTGTTTATAATTACAATTTAGGTCAAAAAAGTTATAAAAAGGGTATGCAATTATTTAATATTGATTATATCTTATTTTATTTGATGGTTGTTTTACTTCGTATCATATTATACAGATATTGTACATGTACACTTTAAACTATACTATATATTTAATATAATTTATTGACTGATAAACTTTAAACAATGGCTGTACTACTAGCAAAGAAATTCTTCAAGGTTGGACAATAGGAAAAAGAGGTACTTTAATTTTGAAGACTTGTTTCGGAGAAAATCACTAAACTGTATTACCGAGTAGTATTTTGTCATGTTGATACATGTTGATTGGCAAAAAAAAGCAACGAAAAATAGCTCAAAAATATTTTTTCTATTCGGCCAACTTTGTGAAGAGATTTCAATTCCAATAACTGAAGGTTTGAAATTTTTTCAAAACACAAATACAACATGTCTGGTTCAAATTTTGTTGAATTGACATCAGATAAAATCTTTTCTCTAATGCATTAAAAATCAAGCTTTACATAAGTAAAACTTGTTGCGTGATTTTGGACTTAACTTTAAACAATAAACAAGCAGCAGAGCTGTTAACCTATTAATTGAAGAAAATTAATATCTTGATTATCAGTTTTTTAAAGCAAAATCAAATATATATCTTTTTTATATGACAATTTTTTTGATTGTGACTCTGTTTATCAATCTGTTTATTTTTAAAAGACATCACATTAAAATATTTTGCGTAATTTGAATAAATATCCGGTTTATTGGATTTAAATGGATTAATAATTATTATTGTTACCGGATTATTTCATGTAGGATTAAGAATGGTTAACTTTGGTCACTAGAAAGATTTAACTAAAATTCCAACTAACACTAGATACAAAAAGAATATTCTAATTGCATGTGGCAAATATCACAATATTTAATAAACCCATTGTCTGCAAAAATAAAATAAATAATTAGTAACTTTTCAAAACATATCCAGATTTTCGGACCTACAGAATTTTAAACCAACAGATTAAAATAAAAAGGAGGAACATTTTCTTTTTCTCAAAATTTTTCTAGGAATTTACTAAACCGAAACAAAAATAAAAAAAAGAAGTAAAAAAAATTATGGTTGTAATCAGCGAATATTAGTTAACTCCTTCGATAGGATTTGATTTTTTTTTCCTAGAAAGTTTTTTTTTTTTCAAAAAGATTCGGTTTGTTTCTTTTAAAAAGAAGATTTGGTTTGCTTTTTTCTTGAAGCCTTCTTATTAAATTTTTTTAAAATATAAAATACAAGTTTTTCTTTTACTATTTTATAAAAATTTTATAAAATAATAAAAAAAACTTCATTTTATAAACAGTCATCTTGACCAGTTTCCTGAATATCTTGGAGATGCAAGTAAAGAACAGGGAGAGCGGTTCCACTAAAATTTTAAAACAATGGAAATTACCAACGACGCCTAGATAAACATATGGTAGTAGGCTACTGTTCAAGCATTAAACAAGTTAAAACAAACAAGATTTTCAAGTGAAAGTTTCTTTCCGACTGAGTAGTTGTAGTAACTATTCAGTCGGAAAGAAACTTTCACTTATATACTGAGTAAACAATGTCTGCAATAAGTTTTTGTATGTAAATTACATGGCCGACGGTGTCGTCAGTCCAGAACTAAACTTTTTTTTTAATAAATCTAAAAAGTTTGAAATTAGAATTTTTTGATGGTTAAGCTACAAAATTTTTATTTTAAATTTTTTTTTTTTTTTTAATTTTTCAATTAAAGTTTTCAATTTTTTTTTTTTTAAACATGTTTTCAATTTTTTTTTCAAACATGTCTTATCAATTTTTTTTTATTTTAAATATGTGATATTATTTTAAACATATCTTTTACCAATTATTTTTAAATTTTAAAACATATCTTAGTAATTTCAAGTAAGCTCAAATTTGCTTTTCAGATAAAAATAAATTCTTGGAAAAAGTACCTACGTTTTTTATACTTGATTAAAAAAAAAAACTTAAAAAAAATAAAAAATAAAAAGATTATAACAATTTTCAAGGTTAATATAAATAAAATCTGATATTAGTTTTGATTTCGGCGTAAGAAAATTAGTTTGTTTTTGCATATTTGGTTATATCCAGTTTGTTTCGGCATATCTGGGTATGTCCGGTTTCTATACTGAGTTCAGGATAATGTAAAACTTAGAATTTAGCAATTTTAACAAAGATGGCTGACAAAAAAAGTATTCTTCATCCATTAAGTGCACCTTTTAGTGCACCTACGTTGCACTTACGTTGCACCTCTTAGATTTAAAAACTTCTAACTAGTAGATAATATTTTTGTATTATTAGCTAGAGACTCAACTTGAATGCATTAAACCTTGAGATATTTTGTACGGCTCAATATGCATTTCTTCCTATATATTTCCATTTAGTGGTCATATTGCTAGCAATTGTTCTTATTAATTGCCATGACAATTACTAAAAATTTTGAAGTTATATATCTTTTAAAATATATTAATAAATTTATATATTTGCCCTAAAAGTTACGCGGTTTAGCACAAATTAGTTTAAGAAAAATAAAAAATAACAAATAGAAAAGCAATAAAAACAACAATAGCAATGTACGTATCAAAGGAAGGTTTAAAAAAATTGAAGGAGTAAATGAAAGAAATATGAAAAATACTACGACACTATGATTTAATAATCTATTTTTTGCAAAGCTTTTTGCATAAGTATAAACATATAAATATTTAGAATTTGCTCCATGTCTGGAAGTTATCCAAAGACCAAAAAATGATGGATCTACTCCTGCCTGTTGGTCAAACAGTTAGTCAAACACACAAACTGTCAAAAAGTTAGTCAAACAAATAAATTTGTGTGTTAAAATTCAGCTCGTGGATTTTAAAAATCAGCTGTTAGTCCTTGCAAATTGTTGACGACGTTGTCAAGTATTTTATGATATTTTATTCTAATGACTTGAATATTTAAATAAGCTATCTGAACTGCGTATAGATTTTATACCATTTACTCAATAAATAGTGCAATAAAATCAACAAATTAAAAAATGGGTTTAAGAAAAAGTTATTAATCTAAATAAATTGAACTAATTAATCTTAAATTTATTGACCTTACTAATTGAAGAGCCTTTTAGGTGACTGTGGGAAACTTTATGCAAAGTTTTTGTTTCAAAAAAAAGTCAAAACCAGTAGCTTTACTTTTCTTTGTATTTTTTTAATCTTCTCAAAGTATGGTAAGCGTTTTCTTGTCCCTCAGTGCATCTGTCAATGAAACAAAAAGATTGGACCGTAAATGAGTTAAATAAACTACTTCTTCAAAAAGTTTTATCTTTTTATCTTTCTTTTGGACAAATCAATTAGAACAAAATAAAAAAGAAAGCCTTATTATAATTTTTTCAAATAGTTACTTATTAATATTATTTTTTACAATTATTTTTTAATTATTTTTAATATCATCTGCTTATTATTATTATTATTATTATTGTGTGTTTATATTTGTTGTAACTACTAAAAGTTTGTGTTATTATTATTTTTGTGTGTTTATATTTGTTGTAACTACTAAAAGTTTGTGTTTACTATTAGTCATATTATAGTAAATAGCTGCTGTCTTTTGATCACATCTTTTTATACATCTTCGATAAAAAAAATTAATATTAATAATAAAAAAGTCCTGGTTTTAAAAACTAGAATAAGGAAATATAAATATAAATTAAAATA